TGTGTGTGTGTGTGTGTGTGTGCATGCGCGCGCGCGCTCGTGTGTGTGTGTGTGCGTTTACGTGTGTGTGCAATTAGTGCGTGTGCGGATACATGTACTATAATTATGTATACCATGCTACGGCAAAATTTCTCTTAGTGGAGATCAATCATATTTTATGCTATCTTATCTTTAATCTTATCTTATCTTACCTCATCTTATCTTACCTCATCTTATCTTACCTCATCTTATCTCATCTCATCTTATTATCTTATCGGAAGAAGCTTGGTGTCGACGGAGATTTTAGAGCTCTCTTACATCAGATCTGCCGGCTGAATCGTCCCCCAAAATAATGAAGTCAAGGAATAATATGCTGATGGTTTTGTTGTCTCTGGTAAGACATTTTTTCTTTCGTGTTTACGTCCAGGAAATCATCTATAGATCTACATATCATTATTATACTTGTGAAAATTCGTCACTTTGGCTGCCTAAAACTTTCCAACCACTTAACTTTCGAATTTGAAAAAAAATAGTGGTTCAGAATCATTTAAAGGGTGCACAGTTTTATTTAGGAGTCTGAAGTCTCTGTAGTTTAATTTTCAGTTTCCATTAGTTTTGTTTAGATCTAATCTTGGAAAAGTTCGTCTTCTAAGATACCATTGTAAGCAAGTGAGGCTTCCGTTCATAAGTAGTGCGCACTAGTGCCACAAGGACGAGACGATCGATTCTTTTGAGTCCGTTCATCGAACGGCTACCCAGCAAGTTCGAAAATAATCAAATAAAATAGACAGGACTGATAAAATAAACACAGTGCAATATATATTGGGGGAGAGGGGAGTAGGAACAGGAGGATGATATAATATTATTGTTCTACAGTTACCAGTCTTGATTATGAATGTCCTTTTCAATAAGCTTGAACGTTAATTCTTTTTTTGTGAAAAAACAAATAACCCCCTCCCCCTCCCAAAACAAAACAACCACTCACAAACACAAACAAACATCAAAGTCAGCCACTTTGCCTGCCTGTAATTGGTCGCTTTTAAGCACAAGGGAGCTATCCCTAAGAATGCTGTTTTGAGAAAATCGAAGGTAAAGATTTTGGACCCTTGTTCAGATTCTTTAAAAGACAAGGAGAATTTTCTCTATAACCAAACAAATAAACTCACTAATGAAACCAAACTTCTCTTATAGGTAGGGCAATGCCCACTTTTGATGTAGGTCAAGATTTCTGGAAACCCCCGAAATCTGGGTAAGTCCTCTTGTCCATAAAAGCGACGAAGTGCAATCAAAATAAAACCCAATTATAAACAACATGAAGCTTTCAACATATTTTGTTTTGGGCTAGTTCTTGATCCAGATTGATGGCTTCCGAAATGGGAAGTGGTCAGACGCAACGGAGCCAGAACAGGAGGATCGCCGCTTTATCATCCACGGTAAGAAGATACGATAAGTTAATATAAGAAAAAGTAAGATCAGAAAAGGTAACGTAAGATAAGATAAGATAAGATACGATAAGTTGACATAAGAAAAATAAGATAAGATAAGGTAACGTAAGATAAGATAAGATAAGATAAGATAAGATAAGATGAGTTGAGATAAGATAAGATAAGATAAGATACGATAAGGTAACGAAAGGTAAGATAAGATAAGATAAGAAGATATATCTTTATTGTCCAGTTCCTGGCGCATTGGTTTGGTGTTTCACCACGTACACAATTGCACACACACATTCGCGCGCGCGCACACACACACACACA